TTTTTTTTATTTGTGTGTGTGTGTGTGTGTGTGTGTGTGTGTGTGTGTTAAATAATGATATTATACAGTTTTCAGGGGATTTTATACATTTCCCTTGGAACTACACTTTAAAAACTTTAACAGCTACCCACTCTTTTTCTCAAAAACATCTAGAATTGTGGTAAAAAGAATATGAACAAATGGGCTAAGACATCCTGTTATTTCATTGTTGCTGGCAAGTGTTAGTCCATGTCCAAGGTGCAAAAACATTAGTTGCTGATAATACTGAATTCCATGGACCCTTCACTGTGCCTGTGCTCACAATTAGTTGGAAACACCTGAGTTGTACTTCCCAATGCTGCCAACTGTGGTTTCTCAACAAGGTGCAGGTAAAGTACTTAGAGGCATAATCCTCTAATGCAGCGGTTCTCAACCTGTGGGTCGTGACCCCTTTGGGGGTCAAACGACCCTTTCACAGGGGTCGCCTAAGACCATCGGAAAACACATATATAATTACATATTGTTTTTGTGATTAATCACTATGCTTTATGTTCAATTTGTAACAATGAAAATACATCCTGCATATCACATATTTACATTACGATTCATAACAGTAGCAAAATTACAGTTATGAAGTAGCAACGAAAATAATTTTATGGTTGGGGTCACCACAACATGAGGAACTGTATTAAAGGGTCACGGCATTAGGGAAGGTTGAGAACCACTGCTCTAATGGAAGAGGTGTACCCCTCTAGTTGCAAGTTGTCCTTGGCTAAGGACTCAGAGCAGATAAAGAAGACTTGGGTCTGCAGTTCATTGTAGGAAAGCTCTGAGAAGAATTGTCTGATTATGTTCTACTCTCAAAATGAGGGCTTTGACCTGCCATCACAGGGACAAAGATGTGTCACCTAAAAGTTAAATTAGCAAAAGTCTACACGGAATGGAGAAATTGGCTGTCTATGGGGGCAACCCAAGAAATTATATAAGTAAGACTGAGAGGTTTGGAAAACATCCAATGCTCTAATTCAGGTGATATGAATATAACCTCAAGGACACAGGGATAAAATATTATAATTGCGAAAGTGGACACATAAATTGGCCTTTCTAAACACTACATGTCTGAAGAGTAAGTCAACAACAAAAGAGGATGCTCAGCGTGGGGTCATTGTTTTGGCACATTTGTCCAGCTCTGCCCAGGGGGTAGAGATTGAAGTTCATGAACAGGAAAGCTCCAGTCACTAGAGATGGTGATTTGGCTGTAGTGCAGGACTGTTATTTTACTTAGGTTTCACATGGCCTAGATGAAATATGCCTCAGGATCTTTCTTTGCTCCCCTCTGATCTCGTGCCCATAAGTGAAAACTCTGGTTAGTAATCTGGTTCCTGATATCCTAATAATGTAAAAGGGTTACCCTAGGTGTGACCTGGGAGACACCCTTATGTGGATGAGTATATTGGTCTGACTGATTATGCACCAGCCTTTTTGAAATCCTTTGGTAAAAGTTAGCATCAGTGGATCCAAGAATTCTGTGTGGTTGATCATGCACACACCCAGAATTCCAAAGCTAACGTGAGGGGAGTAGCCAGCCTCTCAGGGAGGCCTCATAGTTCATCATACTAGTAGTGGCCTAGTCCAGTGGTCGGCAAACTGCGGCCCCTTGAGTGTGGCTCTTCCACAAAATACCACGTGCGGGCGCGCACGTACAGTGGGATTGAAACTTCGTGGCCACACTCAAGGGGCCAAAGAGCCACATGTGGCTCGCGAGCCAAAGTTTGCCAACCACGGGCCTAGTCCAATCAGGCCCAATTTATCACTAGATAAAGGCAAAGCCTAGTATCAGAGAAGTAGGTTGCTGGCCATGGTCTTGATAGTTATAGAGTTTTGGAAGCTCTAAGACGTTAGGACAGAGACCCAGTAAGTGAAACTACTATATAGGCATGATTTGTCACCAAGGAACAGTGTCAGAGCATTCAGTATGGCTGACTTCATGGTGGAATGTCAGATGATGTTGTTGAATATCTATTGTCTCTGTTCAGAAGTCAGATTGACCCTTGAGTCAGAAAAATGGGTGAAACTACAAGAATAGATTAAGGGTTTAGCAGGTCTATTTTTGTTTCTAGGGACTGGGTGGAAAAAAACTTAGGCACAAGAGACTTAACTGGCTCACTTTAAAAAATTTAGGGCTAGAACTGACCCAAGGTAGTTTAATGGATGGGGCTCAAATGATGTCACCAGGAACTGGTTTTCCTTAACTTGTCTCTCAGATAGGACCATATTGCCTTGAATGTCAAACAAATTCTGAGGTCACAAGATGGTAGCAGCTACTCCATTGTGCATTCTCAATACCTTGAATCCTTCAGAAAATATAATCTGTTTCATAGAGCCCTTAATGGCTCCTTAATTATAATTGAATAGCTTGCTCATCCCTGAACCCATCATTTGGACCAGGAAAATGTAAATCTCTGACCAATGTCTGAGTCATTTGACCATCCTTGAAGTCAAGGGCAGAATGTGTGCATTAGAAGTACCTGAATGATGGCTGTAGAAGCTGGAATCTGCTAAGAAGTGTGTATCAACTCACCTGTCCAATCAACCATCTGTGAAAATGAATGGCACTGGGGTGTTGGGCTCACACTGGGCCATTGCTGTCCATGTGTGATACCAGCAAGAGGGAAGATGCCACCCCCTCCTCCTTTCCTACCACATTATGTTCTCAGTGACAACTATAACATGTTTTTCATTAGTCATTCAATTTGACAAATGTTTATTGAACACCTACCATAAACCCAGAATTGTGGGAGGTATTAGAGGGGATAATTCTCTGAGGAAAGATATAGCACTTTTCACATTAACAGTTCGAGAAAAGCAACCACTTTTTTTAAAAAAAAAATATGTTATTGATTTTTTAGAGAGGAAGGGAGAGGGAGAAGGATAGAGAGTTAGAAACATCGATGAGAGAGAAACATCGATCAGCTGCCTCCTGCACACTCCCTACTGGAGATGTGGCCCCAACCAAGGTATATACCCTTGACCAGAATCGAACCTGGGACCCTTCAGTCCACTGAGCCAAACCAGTTAGGGCAACTTTTTATTTCTAATATAACATGAAGTCAGCTTCCCCAAAACATTGTGCACTGTCCAAGTTTTGCTTTATATTTACCCTAAGGGGTAGAATGGTCAGAATGGTTGATGGTAGTGAAGACATACCATTCACTTTAAAGAAAATAACTTGTATTTTTCAAATATTATTCCCAAATTAGGTAATTAAATGCTGATAAAATTATTATGTGTAAGATATTGATGCTCTGTGACAAAGTAAATCAAGAAGATAATTATTTTAGGATCAAATTTTCTTTATATTTTAGTCTTCTGTTCATTCATTTTTTTCTTCTGAATTTCATTAACTGAAACTTCAGTTTTTAAGATACAGTTGGAAAGCAATTTCTTCAGCACCAATCTGATGTTACTCTTCTCATCAATGACTCCTGATCACCCTAATGATCAATTCGAAACCCCTTTCATCATTGCACCCCTATTTACCTCTCCAGTCCCTTCTCTCACCTCCCAATTTTTCCACATGTACCACACTCCAGTCATACTGAACGATTTACAGTTACCCAAATGCACAACCTCTCTCACCCCTGTGCCTCCACATGTGCTTTTCCTTCTGTTCACTCTTTTTCTTGCCACCACCCAGCCATCTCTTATTCATCCACTAGATCTCAACTAAGACATCACCTCCTCCATGAAGTCTCCAGACACCACCTGCAAGACTGGGTTGGGTGCTCCTTCTTTGCTTGATTAGTACCCTGCACTTTGCCTATTATGACTCTCATTAGTCTATGCTATGAATTGCCTGTTTGCCCATAAGTCTCCCTATAAGGACAAAAGTTCCCAAATTCAATGAAAGCAGGGTGGAGGCCTTTGTTTTAATGCCTTTTAATGCCTGCACTTTGAGAGCTTAGCTCAAGAAATATTTCTTGGATGAATGAATAAAGAATGAGCCCCTTGCTATATGTTGTTTTCTTGCATTTCCTCAGAATTACAACCGGCCCCCTGTGATGGCACTAGCCATCCCCATTGCAGTGAAATTCCTCCACAGAAGCAACAAAGAACTGTGCAGGAATATGTCCAACTACTTGTCCCTGGCTGCAATCACCAAGGCAGATCTCCTGGCTGATCACACAGAAGTCATAGTGAAGAGCATACTCCAAGGTATGGTGTGAAGGCTGAGCTTGGGGACGTGTTAGGAGTCATTTAAAAGTGTTTTAGGGTGTGGAAAGTGAGACCTAGAGTACTGAGAGGTACCTTAGAGTCTCTGCTTTACCACTAGTTGACTTGTGAACATGGGTAAGGTTCCTTGGGCTGGCTGCGTCTGTGTCTCTTCACTGGGCAGATGAATTATTTGGGCTCATTAGATACATTGTAAGCTTCCAACTCTACTTCTCTCAGTTGGGAGAACTGTTTTCTATGCTTCTGCTCACCTTGTCCATCTACCGACTATGGTAAGCCTGTCTGTCTGTACTGCTCTCGGTGGCAGATGAAAAACCTCTTCTTCCTTTGGTTTCCAAAGGCAAGAAATGTTACATCAATTACACCAGAAAATGTGTAAAGACTTCTTAAATGTGAACATTGTTGGGGGTTGATTTGTGTTAAATGCTATCATAAAAACTCAAATCAGGACACCTCTGTGAACTGTTTTACATTTCAATGAGAGAGATCAAGTTTAGTCCAGTCAAAATATTTTCTTTGTCTTATGTTTTTTCCTTTGCTTTCAGATCTATCAGAAACCATGTTTGTTTGTTTTTAATTTGGGATAAGAGAAGAGTATATGGTATTATTTGATATGCACCAAATTGTCTCCAGTGCCCATTAATAAAACTGTATGAGATCCATGAGTATCTTGGCCTACACGTCCCTTCTACATGTTCAAGTTGAATGTCAACCCCCTGTAAAATGCTTCCAGAAAAAGTATTTCGTAGAGTCCCCAAGGGAGTCCTATGTGTGCTCTCTTTCTGCAGTGCCCAGCCAGTCCACATGCCTCTGCTGTTGTCCTCGCCATTCTTCCTGACAGGGCCTGCTGTGGTGGCGTCCACCTCCACCACCCTGAGCCCAGCAAACTCCGTGGCTGCTGCCATCAAGGTCCCAGGAACAGACTCCATTCCACACTGCTCTGCCTGTCTGTCCTTTTGCACTGCTCCTCTTGAAGGTCAGGAGGCATCAGCCCTCAGTCCACTGATTCCATGTGGCAGGATCGGGGAGAACATCCATCTTTCTCCTTGGTGTCACATTTTGGTAGAGAGGCCCCAGAGCAAGGTTGCTTGGCTCTCAGTGCCAAACTGTGGGACCAAGTCAATAGATGGGTCAATAGACAGTTCTGTTTTGTCTAAAACTGTCTCTTCTCTGGGCTCCACTATTGACCCAAGAGTTGGGCTAGCAAAAAAGTAGTTCTCCAGTTCTCAAAATGCCTATCACCCCCCAAGGACTGAGGTTCTGTTGATTGTACCAAACATTCCTAAGAAGAGTTTTTAGGACCCCCTCCCTCACCCCCCAGACATTGACCAGCTACCCCAATGGTCTGCCAGATGTCCAGATATGTCTGAACTCCAGCCACGACAGTGGGAGTTTATCACCCTCCCTGTGCCCCTCTAAAGATTTGTCATTGATATTACTAGTCAGTATCATTCTCTTGGCCACAGGATTGAATGCTAATTTCACATTATACGTATTAAATTCGCTAAAAGCCCAGAAAAGCAATCATGTTTTTTTCACCACCTTGGTTATATATTTGGAATAGATTTTATAGGAATTAAAAACACTTATAAACTGCACACATTTTAAGTCCATGATAGTTAGACTTGTAAGTAACTGATATATGGAAAAAAAATTTGAATTGTCTCTTTGTAGCAGCCAAAAGCTTAGGTCATGTATTTGAGTGTTTTTTTCCTTTCTTGAAATGCACTTTCAATGACAAAAAAAAAAAATCTTTTGAAATGCAAAATACTTTCTTAATTCACTGCAAGCATTTGAAATAAACAAATGATTCGGTTTATTTGATCTGGCACAACAAAAATTACCATAAAATAAATGATAATTTGACCTGAAAAGTTGGGACTACATATTTCAGGGTTTAGATTTTTTAGGACAGATATGTCTGTAAACTCCACAATCACTCACATGAGCACATCAAACTTTGAGCTTCAAAGAAGAAGTGATCTTGCTGTCTCTGAGTAGTAAGTTGTCTGCTCTGCAAATTTTTGTTGTATATATACCCTGACAACAGCCTTAGGGACATCAGAAAGATTTCATTTTTCTTTACTTATAGTTTTCTTTCCTTTAGAACTTGCTTTTTGACTTATATTATCTGAATCCTCATTCTCCCATATTTCTACTTCTACAGAAAATGTTGAAGTTTACAGCTGTTTGATTTGACGTTACAAGAGTAGAATTATAGAAGTATAGAATCTTAGTTTGAGACATTAATTATGATTTAGCTCATTTACCCAGGTAACGCTTGAATGCCCACCAATGGTCATCCATTCAGTGAGAATGATAATAATTATAATAACCATAACTACAATGACTAAAATTTATTTTATGCTCTCTTTAAGCCAAACACTATATTAAACACTTTATACTGATTATATCATTTAATCCCCACAATAATTTCATCACAGGAGTCCTATTGCTATCCCATTTTACCAATTAGTAGTACTTTAAGTAACAGAGACCCCAGGTATAAATGCTTTAACGATGATGGTGACAATGGCAAGAATAATGAAGAAGAAGAGAGAGAAGAAGCAGGAGTAAGAGGAGGAGGAGAGGAAAAATTAGAAGAAGGAATAGAAGGAGGAGAAACTCCTACTGGAACATGTGACTGGAAAGTGCGTGAGTAGATCAGACTTCCCACGGGGCTTGATTCAAGGCTCACGGGTGGTCCCAAAAGTTATTGCTCAGCTCTGCTTCCTGTGGAGTCATTTCACTCTCATGCTCCACTTTATGGGCCTCTGCAGCATCCGGCTCACATCCTCAGGAATACCGATTAAGGAAAAGAAACTCCATATCTAGTCTCACTGCCTCTGTTTGACCTGACATAGGTCACATACCCATTTGCAGCCTTATGTAAGTGTTAACCTGTATTGCTTTACACTTTCTTCTTAATACATTCAGCCCACTGCTTTGGCATGCCAAGGAATTGGATAATGATTCTTTCATTTCAATGTATCTGTAGTTTTTCCAAGGTTCTTGCCATCTGCAAATTTTATGAAAAGAACTACTCTAGCTTCATTATAAAACATTCAGAAAGGATATATGCATCCCTATGTTCATAGCAGCACAATTTACCATAGCGAAGATCTGGAAACAGCCTAAGTGCCCATCAGCAGATGAATGGATTAGAAAACTGTGGTACATCTACACAATGGAATACTATGCTGCTGTAAAAAAGAAGGAATTCTTACCATTTGCAACAGCATGGATGGAACTGGAGAGCATTATGCTAAGTGAAATAAGCCAGTCAATGAAAGAAAAATACCACATGATCTCACTCATTCATGGATAATAAAGACCATTACAAACTTTTGAACAATAATAGATACAGAGGCAGAGCTGCCTCAAACTGATTGTCAAACTGCAGTGGGAAGGCCAGAGAGGGTTGGGGGGCAGAAGGGAGGGGAGTAAGAGATCAACCGAAGGACTTGTATGCATGCATATAAGCATAACTAATGGACATAAGACACTGGGGGGTAAGGGAGGGCAGGGGATTGTCAAGGGCGGGGGGAAAAAGGACACATATGTAATACCCTTTGTAATACTTT